AAAAAAAAAAAACAAAAAAATAATGCGTGATGGAAACCTTCATAAATCGCAAGTGAAGACGCTTGTTTTGTTTTTTTAAATTAGAACTTAGAGTTTTGAGAGGGTAAATATCACAGAAATCGTTTGCCGGACTGATTAAAGGTAACCAGCACATAGTCTTCAACAGCCAGTCGACCATCCAAGTGGGCGGAAGATGGAACCGGGGCAAAAACAAAATAGACAAACCCTTTTTGGGAATAATGTCCGGTTTGGTGGTGAACGAGGCGAGAATTTTCGAACTCGCGGCTACGAAAGACAGCCACGTGACGGTCAAAGGCGACGTCCACTTGCTACCCGTTGGAAGTCTCGTGGATCGAGCCGCACCGCTCCAGAGGATGCAGCAGGTATATTCTATTCGTGCTGTATGCGTTTGTCAAGGAAAAAAAAATGTCTTTTCAACTTTCATTCGACAAACATTAAAACGAGCATTTCCTCTCGTCCAGACACCAGCATCGGGTTTTCCGGGGGTGGCTGACGACTTGATATTCTCCGGAGCCGGTAGTGGCTGCGCCGGAGACGACGAGGACGAAGACTGCACCCCTATTTACGAAAACGGTTCCGGTAAGTGTAAGTAAATTTCGGAAATCTTCGTCTCAACATCAACACCTACGACACACTCTATTATATAATTATACTCTCGCACGTACTTGTGTTTTTTGTATTTTCGTTCATGTTTGTGTATACTTTTTGAATTTTTCTCAACTCCCCGAATCGTATATCGAGGAGAAAAATTCAGTTCATCAAACACGTAGTTTCCTGTTTTTTTTTACAATTTACACAAACAACGATTTCACAATTTGATATGGTATCCGCATGCGAATAAACAACGAAGATTTTGTGATGACAGACAGATGATTTTATATCGATGAAACTAAAAAATTGTTCAAAAAAAATTCACAAAACCATGTGAACCACAGATGACCTGATCACTCCCGTTTACGTGCCACCCACCAAGTCTCCCGTGGTGATAACCAAGCCCAAGAGTCCGAGTAAAAATTTACACGAGAAAAACATCTCCTGCGACGACGAGGAGGAATGCAACGAGGAAGGCTCGGGCGACTCCACCACCGAAGAAATCTTTGTTGTCACTTCGTCAACCACTTGTGAGTTTCGCACCATTCTTTTTTTATCTCAGTTCTTCCAACCGAACGAATCGTTCCTCATAAATACTTTTTTCAACAGTGTCGAGCTCGTCGGCGGTTGGCTTCACGACCCAACAGCATCCCTCGACCGCCCGAGGAACGACGAGCATCTCGACAAGCACATCTACGCTTCCAAGCAGCCCGGCCCGGGACCTCTTCCACACGACTACGTCCGCGCAGCTCAATCTCTCCAGCGATACTTCCACTTCACACAGTACTCGGGTCAGGTAAAACAAAAAAAAAATAATTTGATAAAAATATATTGTGTATGCAAAATAACATTTTTCAACCGATGATTTCATGATTTCTATGTAGCGTCGTCACGCACGATTCACGCCCAAGCAGCACGAGCCTGCAGACAAGCACGACCACGGAGATCATGGAGTTGCCGACGAGTCCGAGAATCACTTACACTTACGGCAACGGCGGCAGCGTCAAGGGCTCCGACATTTATCTAACGACGACAAATCGCAACAACAACAACAACAACAACAACAACATCAACAACAACAACAACGGCCGCGTGATGTCCGAGGGCGCGGAGAACATTGCGCTGGTGATCGTCATAGCCGCGGCCATAGCGATTTTGCTGACCATCATCGGGATCATCTACGTGAGGTACAAGACTCGGCCGGAGCGCAATTACAAGATCGACGACGGCAAGAGTTTCAGCCAGGAGCCGAACGCCGCGCTTCTGGGTGGTGGAGCGAACGCGGGCCAGAACTACGCCGGGGCTTTGAGGAACGGACAGGGCAATGGATCGAGTAAAAACGGCAAGAACCGCGGAGTTAAGGACATTAAGGAGTGGTACGTGTAAATCAAAGAGATGCATGTTCAATTGCGGACTTTGGAATTAAGTACGGCGGACGCTTGAAAGCCACGATGAGCCAAGACTGACCGCGTTACGTTTCTTTTTTTCTTTTTTTTTTCGCACCACGTCGTGTGTATTATCATACGAAGACGTAACGCGCACCCTACGCACGGCTAAGACTACGATACACACGTTACTGTTCAATGAAGAAGCAACATGATGAGTAAACAAAACGATACGATACCACAAATAATAATTACTATAATAATTATAATTATAATAATACACATTACTTACGTATTATCTTGTCAGCAGAGGTAACAGGCGATGGGGGGGTGGACAGAAATATATTGCGAGTGCGTGTATTTCGTAAATGCAGTAGTATATAGTGAAAGTGTCGTTGGTGCATGTCGACGATAGATAGGGTGTGCGGGGTGAATGATGATACGTCCTTAATGATAGGAAATACAAAAAAAAATTAAATAATAATAAAAAAAAAAAGCAACAACAACAACATAAAAATGAAGAAAAAGTAAGGAGCGAGTCATGAAAGTCGTAGCGAGATGGAGCAAGAAATATCGCTGTACTGAGCTACTATTATGATAAATATTACGTATTAATAATCATAATGATAATAATATATGATAAATATATAAATATATGTGGTAAACGAGTCGTATACCAGAAGCAAATTTGAAAGTACATGTTGAAATCTGAAGATAAAAAAATAGACGAGTTGAACGACGCTTCAAGTAGAGCCATTTCATTTTCATAAATGCAGTTTCAGAGCTTTTTATGCCGTCAGGTGCTTTTAATCATATTATTCTTTTTTTTTTTTTACGTGTCTGTACATACGTATGATTATGTAGACGCATTTCACATACAGTCAAGTTTGCAGTGCTTTTAGGCCAAACATGAATTTTTTTTTTTTTTTTTTTTCATCGGAAACAAAATAAAATTGTTTCAATTTTTTAACACTGTCGTGATTTTAGTGTAGATGATTTGAGTCTCGCGAGTAACGTTAACGCACACAAACATAAACTACAAACGATATACTCAAATATATACTTACCAATTTTATAGTAACGTTCGTTTTGCTAAAGCTCTTGAATAACTGGATTCTTTACGATTAATCGTGACAAAAGATAAAAGAGCAATGAAACTGCAACGATCGATGCGTACCATCCTATTTAGCGATTATGCCGGCATTTATTGTTGTATAGATATTAATATACATGTATAAGTACACTATTTATAAATTGTGTTAATCGTGTTTGAATTTTAGATTTTATTAAAACTGCGAATAAATTAAGGAATGAAAAAAAAAATGGTTGCTGGTTCTGTCGATATCAATAAATATGACCATTATAATATATGTATATTCGAATACACGTACGTGTACACACTTACATATAGCATGTATACATAAAAACATGTTTTGTTTTGATAACAAAAGATATTTATATAAAATAATTGTTACCGACTTGTTCGTTAGTCCTAACTCATTCGTTTTTAGCCGATAAAATTAATTAATGAAAATAACGCGAAAAAATGTAGTTACTCTCTCGACGTTGCCGATTTTTTCATTGCCATGCGAGTCGCAATTTTTTTTTGTTAATACATATACAAGCACGTATCAGTGATGTGTAAACTAGGGTAACATAATAATAAAACAATTGAATCATCAGACACGAATGAAGCTGATGAAATTTTGGAGAGTAAATGTCATCATTGAATTTCACATAGAAGAAATGGGGCTGCGAAAATCAGTTTAGCGTGTATTTCAGCGATTTAATATGAGAAAGTCAAAAATTGTTCCATTACACGGATGCCGACCGTAAGCATTTGTTAAAAATGCAATTATACACATGTGAAAAAAAAAATTAATACTGAATATGTATGTATAGTCGTGTTGGAAAATGTTTTAATTCATTAACACGCGTATAAAGTAAACGCAGCTCGCCATGTTATTAAATTTGAAGTAAGTACATTCCTCGAGCTGTGTTTGTTACCCACCACAGCAATGTATTAAACTAAAATTATGAATTAATTGAAAGTAATAACCCTATGACGTGGTGTTGTCAAAATCAATTTTTAATGACATCTATTAAGACATTTCGCGTTGTCTCTAAACTTTAAAGCTAAGCCCTTAATGATACTTTTTATTTAAATGTTTACTTCCCAAGATTAAAAAAAAAAAAAAAAAAATAATTGAAACATCTTGAAAGTCGTTGCAAAAATAAAGTTTTAACGAATTTGTCCAAGCAATAATGATTAGTTGATAGTGCAAGCAGTTTAAATATAGTTGGAATTTAATATGTAGACCCCAAGTGCGAATTTATTTGTTTATTTTTTTTTTGAAACGTTATCTGTATTTAAAATTGTAGAAGTACGTGAAGAGAAATAGAAAAAAAATTGACTTTTTTTTACAAACGACGATAAAGTCCATTTAGTCAGTTCAGAAAAGTTGTTAAAAAAAAAGAAGAAAAAAAGGAAAAAAAAAAGTTATTCACCACTGTAAGATCTGTCCAAGTTTTTTTATAAAACTACTGGAAAAAAAAGTTATATACGGAAAAATGTTTTCTAATTTCACTTTTTACGAAAAATTGAGAGAAAACGTGCGTATATATAAATAAAGAAACACTGTTTCACTTGCATATCAATTAACTGAGAACCTAATCCTAAGTAAAAAGTACAACACGTTACTCTGCTTTTTTTCTCCTCAAACATTTTTCCCTCTATGTATAAACTGTGTTCCTTTAATGAGTATATTAGGTAAATTTCTCCTACAGAAATACTGATAAATTTTTAGAAAAAAAAAGAAAGAAAAGAAAGAAAGTTCAATAACTTGCACCAAATTGAAAGAAACACTGCGATTTATCTCCACATATGCATTGATGCACGTGGGCACTTGTACCATTTTCTTACCTATAAAAACCTACATCACTATTACATTTGATTGCACGATCGTTAAAATTGCTCTTTGCAATCGTTCAACCCTTAATATTTACATGTTACGAACAAGTGTGTATGCGTTTTATTATCAATTTGAAACAATTGCGATGTGTCGAGATTTTAAATGTTAACTCGATTTCATACGTTATTGATGCATTATTGACGTGAAAAATCGGTTACCTTAAAAATAAAATGTATGGTAATTTTGAATGGCATATGATATCCTAAGACGTTACTGTAATAATTACACTGGAATTTTTATTTATTTTACCTTTTATTTTTCATGATTTATTCCTTGAAAGACTTTTGTCGAGTCGTACGGTAAGACCATAATATTACAGGTTCACACTGTGAATGAAAGTTGATCGTTATTATTGAATAGTCGTAAAGTGTGAAAAAAAAAATCATTTCTTTTATCCAATATTTTTATGAATTTATTGAAAATCAATCTATATCAACAAATACAATAATATTTCGACTGCTTTATTTAACTGCCGCAGAAACTCAACTGCAAAAACATAAAATACTAAAATAATTTAAATTCTAATTTTCGCATCAACTTAGAATAAAATAAAAATATGAATTAATAAAAATAAAATGAGTGTTTCGCATGGAAAGCAAACACTTGTTTTATCATGATTTTTTTTTACATTTATCGAGATATTCTTTTTCAACAAGTTTAGAAAAAATATATCTCTGATAAATCGCCGTATATTTGCATATCCTTGAATGTAAGTACTGAAAACTAACGTTTGTATTACTTAAAGAAGTGTTACATCATACACTTAACCGCATAATCTTATATGCATGTATCAAGTGTATCAATTAAAAATATATACATATATCAGACCTTGATAAAAATTTTGTTTCGATATAGGTACATATCTGCAATTAAAGTGATTGATGGTTATTTTTTATTTTTTTTTTTTTTATATTTATATTATTTATATACACATACTGCTGATTCGATTATAATAATCGAAATAGATCGACACAGCTCAGCCAAATAATGTATTATGTATACTATTTGATTTGTCGGAACAGTATCAAACTATTTCGTTGGAGTAAATAAAAAAGAAATGTTTTTTTTTCTGGATTTTTTCGCAGGTTTATCTAGTCGTTGCATTGCGATATGAATGGCATATATTTGCAATAAAAACAAGGTATATATATACATGCTACCCGAAGTTGCTAGCTGGATAAATTTATATTTTACATTGTACAGTAATAAAGAAAAGTCGTGAAATGCACCGTATAAGAAAAAACTAAACGCCATCACATTGTCAGCCGTATACCTAATAAAAGATTAAAGGGATGCGAGAAAAATGACTGCTGTACGATCAGAAATTTCCTTGTAATAAACACTATTGTTAATTTTGTTGTACAAAAAGTGTAACTTTGTTCATCATCTAATTCGCAATTTCTCTATCCACTTTAATTGTTCGATAAGCAAAATTTTTGCCTCCAGAAATTTGCTACAACACAAATGAATTCATTTTATGTGCACACCACGGGTATAGAAGTATAAACGATACTCCCACCCGTGATGTACTTATTTTATGCATTGGGTACTATTTATCACATGGTTTGTTCACATGTGCTTCACCCACATATAAAATGCAATCGTTGTACACAATTTTTTTACGTATACTTGTATATTGACAGAAAGCTTCCTACTTAAATCTTTTGTTATACTTAGTATGAGAAAAAAAAAAAAAATAAAGGAATGATACAAAAATAATCAAGACAAATTTTCACTCAATTAAAAAATATTATTTTTACTTGGTACCAGTATAAATATAGTAAAGTTTTTTTTTTCATATTTTAAATATTTTTCGTCGTCATAGTTGAAACTCGTTTTCTTTATTTTGGAATAAAATTTTTTCTTTTACATTTAAATTTTAAAGAAGGGTACAATCATGGTATCTGAGGAATTATATTTTATTAAGTATACATACTTAAGTATAAAAATTTACAGCAATAAAACCGTAATCATTCGAAAGATTCAAATATTATTCTCTCTGTTCCATAAGAGCGCGCCACTCTATATATAATATACAACTTGTAGGTTAGGTTTGGAAAATGTGCCAGTGCCATCAGCTTGTTTGTAGATATTTTCATAAGCTGTTTGTAACTACATATAGTATTTATATAAACGCTGTGTCTATTGTAGCGTTTTTCTTTAAAATTCCTAACCTTATATCCACGTAATTACGTGGATTTGGTGCGAATAGACACAGCGTTATATAAAATGTACTAATTTGTACAAAATTATTTATATTTAGATACATTACCAGAGTGCTCATAAATGTGTGTGTTAGTAAACTTTTGTCTGTGAAAAATCTCATTAATCATTGACACAATAGTCTTAATGAGATGGCTGAAATACTATAGCCGTTGTTTTTACCGTTGTTTTTTTGCAAATCAAACTAAATATAATGCCTGACATCAAAGTTACACCCTTGGGTGCCGGACAAGATGTTGGCAGAAGTTGTATACTGGTGTCCATGGGTGGAAAAAATATAATGTTAGACTGTGGCATGCACATGGGTTTCAACGATGAGAGACGGTTCCCAGATTTTTCGTACATTGTCCCAGAAGGACCAGCAACAAATTACATAGACTGTGTTATTATTTCTCATTTCCATTTGGATCATGTTGGAGCCCTTCCATACTTTACTGAAATGGTAAAATCATCAATATAGATTTTGTAGTATTATAAGGAGAGAATAATAACAATACCTTGTTTTTTTTTTTACTTTCTAAAGGTCGGATACTCGGGACCTATTTACATGACACATCCAACAAAAGCAATTGCTCCAATATTACTGGAGGACATGAGAAAAGTCGCGGTTGAACGCAAAGGTGAAAGTAACTTTTTTACTTCACAAATGATTAAAGATTGCATGAAAAAAGTTGTTGCTGTTACTTTGCATCAGTCGGTCATGGTTGACTCCGAGTTAGAAATAAAAGCCTACTATGCTGGTCATGTACTTGGTGCCTCGATGTTTTGGGTAAGAGTTGGCTCCCAATCGATAGTATACACTGGTGATTACAATATGACTCCCGATCGACATTTGGGAGCAGCCTGGATCGACAAATGTCGACCGGACCTTCTTATTTCTGAGTCAACTTACGCGACAACAATCAGAGACTCAAAGCGATGTCGTGAAAGGGACTTTTTGAAAAAAGTTCATGACTGCGTTGAAAAAGGTGGTAAGGTGCTTATTCCTGTGTTTGCACTCGGTCGTGCTCAAGAATTGTGTATATTATTAGAAACTTATTGGGAGCGAATGAATCTAAAAGTTCCTGTTTACTTTGCCCTTGGTCTGACAGAAAAAGCCAATAATTATTATAAAATGTTTATTACTTGGACAAATCAAAAGATCAAGAAAACTTTTGTTCAGAGAAATATGTTTGATTTCAAGCATATTAAGCCTTTTGATAAATCTTACATTGAAAATCCTGGTGCCATGGTAGTTTTTGCCACTCCTGGAATGTTACATGCAGGTTTGTCACTGCAAATATTTAAAAAATGGGCTCCAAACGAGGCCAACATGGTCATTATGCCTGGTTTTTGCGTCCAAGGAACTGTGGGGCACAAAATCCTAAATGGCGCAAAGAGGGTCGAATTTGAAAATCGGCAAATCGTCGAAGTAAAAATGACAGTAGAGTACATGTCCTTTTCCGCTCATGCCGATGCAAAAGGTATCATGCAATTAATTCAGTACTGTGAGCCAAAGAATGTCATGCTCGTTCATGGAGAATTTGCGAAAATGGAGTACCTAAAGGAGAAAATAAAGCAAGAATTTGGGACAAATTGCTATAATCCAGCAAATGGAGAAACATGTGTCATTACCACGACATCGAAAATGCCTGTTGATGCTTCGTTAGCACTTTTAAAATCTGAAGCAAAAATGTACTCTGCGTTACCCCCTGATCCCAAGAGACCTCGATTATTACATAGTGTATTAATGTGTAAAGAAGACGGTATTTGTCTCGTGGATGCTGATGAAGTAAGCCATTAATCATAATCATCCTTACTAAAATTTCTCGATTTTTTACAATCCCATTTATATTAATTTTTCAATAGATCGCAAAAGCTGTTGGCATCACCAAACATACTGTAAGGTTCACATCAGCTGTACAAGTTCGAGATCCTGGATCTTCACAATCAACGGCTCGAAAACTTTTACAGCCCCTTCAAGAACGATTATCAGGATGGACAGTTAAAATGGTGGATGGTAATATATCAGTTGAATCAGTTTTAGTGAAAGTTGATGAAGATGAGAATGATCAAAAAAGTGTGTATGTTTCTTGGACTAATGAAGATGAAGATTTAGGGAGCTATATTCTTGGCTTCCTGCAAACTATGCGCAATTAAATATGTTTCTCACTTTTAAATTAATGTAGTAGATAAAAATTTTTTATTCAATACATTAAAAAGATTTATTGGTATGTGGCTACAAATATTTTTAAACATAAAACTTGTAAATAGTAGAAATCTCAGTATAGTAGCACATAAATGTCGATAGATTTGTTGAATAAATATTTTATTTTCTATTTCAAGTTGTTACGATTCCGCTCACCACTTACCTCTGCAATATTTATTTTTTAATACTTTTAAATACAAAAAAATAGTAAATAAAAAAATAAGGGTAAAAACTAATCGAAAAATAAAAATGATTTGAATAACATTACTTGTTTTAAAATTAATGAAATGGCAGCTTTTAAGTAATTTATTTGTAAATTAAATACATATAAAATTATTCACAATTATGATTTCCATGAAAAACTTGATTTTTTATAATTATAAACAACTGTATTTTTTTTTCTTTTTTTTCAATTCAACTTTTTTTAACCAAAAATTCTGCAATTTCCATTATTAAACTTGTAAAAAGAATATGATCTGATAAATATTTGCCAAGTCGACAGATTAAAAGTACATCAGAAACATTTCACAAGATCCTTGAAAGTATTTCTGGAGTATAACTTGGCAACTGGTTATATAGTATTAAAAGTAGAGTAATAAAAATCATTTCTCTGAGCTAAAAATTTGACTAAAAATTCTTTTAATATATCTCAAGAAGATAAAAAAAATCTTCTTTTTTATTATTGCACATGCATTTCATTTACGTTAGTTCATTCATGTGTGATACAATTTTTCATATTTTCGTATTCAAATTCAATTCAAGTCACTTATGCTTATACGTAGCTGTTTCGCTCGCTCACTTTGCTCATTTGACCCTTCATCAAAAGGATTTTATTTAATCAAGTGCATTTCGTTGAAACTGATCGCAAATATATGGATGCGCTACACTCTTTAGACCGTACAATTTATATATATATATGCATACTGAATAACAAAAAATAATCTCTTCTCAATGCATACTGCCCTTCAGTTTACATCGCGTACACACACCATTTTTCAATAATCTGCGATTTTTTTTCCTTTTTTTTTCTTTTTTTTTTTTTTTTTTTTACTAACTACATTGTTGTTTATACTTTATCCATATAATAAAATATTATATTTTTATAATAAACATTATCCGTATTTTTTCAAGTGTTACTGCTGTGTATTTGTGTTTTTGCAGCATGACCAAGCATGCATTTGACACGTTTTTCTTCCTTTTTCTTTCTGCCTGTCCCTCGATATCGTTAATGCGGCTTACTTTTCAATGCTACTTTTTTCCGGAACCACCCTGAAATTCATAACATTTTTATGAAAATTTACATTTTCAATCTATTTTATGCAACATATAGTCATACAAAAGAACAAATTCATATTTTTATTTAAATGTATGCAAAGTTGATTATTAATTGATTCATCAATATATTTTACAAATGTTGATCATATAAATAATCCTAACAACATTGATTTTGTGGTAAACACATTCTCTTTACACAAGAATGCAGTAAAAAATGATTCATTTCTTAACCATTTAAACAAATATTGAAATACACAAGTGCAACATGTAACTATGCAGTGCAACACAAAACTACGAAATTTTAAAGCTATGAATGCTTGGGTACATGATTTAGGCAAGGCAGAAATTCAAGAAACACAAAATGCTAATTTTGTATGAACATTTAAATGTGCAGTACTGTACGTCCTGTAAAATGCATAATAGTTGAGAGCAACAAAATTGATATTGATTGATAATTTTTCGAATAATTCTTTTTTTAATACAACGTCAAATTAATTTGATATTGATTTTGCATAAAAATGAAAAATATAACGAAAAAAANCTGTAGCTGAGAAACAAATTTTTTTTCTTGTGCCAAATTCGACTCACTGTTTTCTACTACTTTGCGCAACTTTTGTAACTCTTGATCCATTACTGCTCGCTGAGTACTTTCATTTTGTAACTGTTGGGTTAACCAGGCTTTTTCCTGGAAAAAAAAGTATTGCATTGTTTTGTGTACAAGGCAAATTGTGTGGATATTTACAACGAGAATAGTGAGTTGTAAATTTTTAGTGAAACTTACTTTTACTATAGAGCTTTACTTGAAAAAGTAATGTTTATTTTCATTTATTTTGGGTAATCAATTACACAATGTGAATGTGCTTATACCCATCACCCCAGTGTTTGTGCTATTGAAAATAAAAATAAAATAGTATTGCTTAATAATTGCTTATTGGCTTTGGCTGTTCTAAACTAATTACTATTTAAAATATTGATATTATAGTTTAAAATGCAATTAGGTCGTGTAATCATACAAGTATTTTAAATTTAGTGTACATTCAAGAATACGTACTTTCTGTAAAAACTAGAAGTAAAAGTCACTCTCGGTTCAGTCTTAATATGATTTGCACACATCAATCGTCATTAATAAACAATAAAACAAATAATCAAGTGCTGAAGTACACATCGAGATACACAAAGGGAATTATGAAAATAAAAAATACACAGAAACAATATATAACAGTGTAAAACACAATCACACTTATTTTAAGTTATGTTTAGAATTATGTGTTGCATTAAAATAACTTTTAGATTCAAAAACAGTTGTTATTTTAAAAAGGCAAACAAGTTAAATTGATGCTTGTACCAATTTTAATATGTTTTACGTTTAGTCGATAGCTGAGAGTGACTTGCGGGTTAAAAAAGAAAAATTGTAAAAAAATTGGTTCATCGATGCAGGGTGATCAAAAATAAAATTTATGATCAACTACGATGATAATATTACAATGAATGAATTTTGACTCTTGCTGATTATTAACGAGCATCCATTGAAAAACATGAGTTGAATAATTGGAAAGAAATAAAATTAAAGGAAATAACCACTAGCTCCTTAGCATGGACCCGCATTTAATAAAAAAGGCACGAGCTAATGCTGATTGATCGAATCACATTTTTTAAGTTGCGTACCTGCGAATCTGCGTCTCTTAGCCGTGGGATTCTTAGTGGACTGTCAGAACAACCAAAACACAATGAACATATTATTGCTAAAAAATGTTAAACTAATGGACACAACTGTTCTATGTTAATGATGGCACTGCTGTGTAAAAAATGTTTTCTGACAAGTACGCGCTACACTTCAACTCACACGTCTTTTTTTCATCATTTTGTCATATTTGATTTTAGGTATAGGTGAATTGCGGTGACTTTGCGAAGAATCTTTAAGTAGCTTGAAATAATCTTTCTAATACCATTTTTGTGCTTTCGTCATCAAACGTTAACTTACACTTACTGTTTAGTAGAACAAACACTGGGAAATTTTGTAATTACCATATATAAAAATTTTATATGGGAATCTTTTAGTACAGTCTTCAGTTTCGCGCTCAGTGATGTCAATAGATCGTCTACCTAGTACTTTTAGACATCGAGGTTGAATACGAGTGAAAAGTTATTTCAACAAATTGGGTCAGTTGGTGAAACGAAATCTTACTCGAGTGAACATTTATTTAATATTTACATGTTGTCAACAAGTAAAAAAAAAAAAAAAATCGAATCTAGAAAAAAAACAAGTACAAAAAAAAATTCTACCATAGATGTTTTGATAATTTTCGTATGAAATACAAGCATGGCGTTTTTATGTAAAAAATCTAATACCCAACAATAACTACAACCATATTCAATATGATTTCGATAAATTAAACCTTGTACTGAAACATATTATTTAAGTTTGACGTGGTAATATACCTAGTAATAAAACGATTATTGGAAAAAAAACTTGTTCACACGTCTTACAACTAAAAATGCAATAAGACATATCAGACATTGAAACGAACTTGACGACGTTTTTTAACTGTACTTCTCAGTTTACCTTCCGCTTTTTCTTGTGCTTTTTATTCTGTTGTCCGTTCAACGAATTGCAGCTATTTTGTAATGCGTTATCTTTCGAAAGACAAGAATTGGAAGCAATGTTCGAGGTAAGGGAACAGTCGACGTCTTGCCGAGATTCAACGGAATTATTTGGCTCGGTCATAGAATAGTTTTCAAGCTCAGCGTTCTTGCGAAGGGTTTTTTCTAAGGCAGCTATCAGACATTGTGCTCCTATTGGCTGTATATTATGGACGTATATTATTTAATGTTCAAACCTAAAGTATGAACATACATCTTGGCAAAATATGATAATTTATCTTATTTTCCATTTCTAAATGCTTCAAACATTTAAAATGAGATGCAAATGATATTGTTAATGGTTATCATACTCTACAGGATTAGTTTTGTAAGCATTTCCATTGTATAAAGCACATACAATTGTATTGTTTCAGTAGTTCAGTGTCAATCAAGATGATGTTTTAAATGTTTGAGCAGACAGTAATAGTATCGTTTGATTATTATGAAATGCATTTTTTGGCAACCCTTGTTGACTTATGCCGTTCCTATACTGTGAATGGATGAATTAAAAAAAAAAAAAAAAAAAAAAAGTTTTTTTGTCCGTTGGTCTTATTAATACACTTTGGTGTATTATATACTCACCTCGGATTTTGAAGTATCAGTGACAGAAGGACCATTCAATGTTGACTGGTCTAAACTACCAATGCCAACACAAACTTCATTCTAAAAAAAAAAAGATTTGTCTCATTTAAAAACAGTACTTAATGTGGGAAAACTTGTTAAGAAATATATTACCTTAATTTGTGATATTTCTCGCTGTAGCTGAGAAACAAATTTTTTTTCTTGTGCCAAATTCGACTCACTGTTTTCTACTACTTTGCGCAACTTTTGTAACTCTTGATCCATTACTGCTCGCTGAGTACTTTCATTTTGTAACTGTTGTGTTAACCAGGCTTTTTCCTGGAAAAAAAAGTATTGCATTGTTTTGTGTACAAGGCAAATTGTGTGGATATTTACAACGATCGTTACCTCTTGAAGTTTTTCTAAAAGCGCAAGATCCGCCATTCGACTTGGAGATTGCGTGTGGAACATTTGTGATTCGGATTTTGTGTTATCTTTTAAGGATTTTACTTCTGCTAAACTTGCTTCTAATTCTGTTATTCTTTGTTGAAGCTAAAAAAAAATTTTTTTTTAATCAATACAAAATACTATTTGTTATACATTTCATAAAAAATATTGCAACTACCTCGTTGTTGGACGACAATTTAGTCTGAAGAGTGAATATTTCTAGCCTAAGGTTAGATACTTCATTTTCCTTTTGATTAAAATGGGCCTGCCACCTCTTTTCTTCTGATTCTATGTGATTTTGAAGCTTATTCAACATTCCCTCCTAATAACGATAATGCTTGTTACTTTTAAATAGATACATTTTTTCGTAAAACAAAATGACTATTAACGCTACCGTATCATCAATTATTTGTTTGTAGTGGCTAACCATAGCCTCCAACTTTTTGTTAGTGTTTTCCAAGTTTATATAGGTATCGTCAGACTTGGGAACTGTTTTTAATGCATGTAGAATCATGTACGCTTGTTGTTCAAACGACGTTATCCACTTATCGTGTGATTTTTCCAACACTTTGATTTCTGGGAATATCCTTTGAAGCAAAGCTTTAGTGGCTTCGTGCTCTTCGATTTTAATTTTTTGCATTCCAGCCTACAGTTGCGAAAAAATTTTTTATTAGATAACTAACACTTGAACCTAGAGCTTTACTACACGTCAATTAGTTATCTGGTAATGATTGTAAACAAAAATGAAATCCATGAACTCAGTCATGATGAATAATTAACTTACTTCAACTCCCCGACCGTTTCTAATTTCACTTTGCGCCGAGTTCAGAGCTTCCATCACTTTCCAATTTTTTCTTCGTAAATCCTGTAGTTAGGAAAAAATGATCGTAAGAATGATCAAGTGAATTAGTGGATGTTAAGTTAATTAGTGTGATGATTTTACTTTAAGTGATGTTTTTAAAGAGACACTATTTTATATTAAAAAATCAAGTATCGTAGATGAAGAAATTGAGTAAAGTGATGGAAGCATTCTGCAATATATCTGATTTTAAAAATCTTTAAAACAAACGTACGTCATTTTTAGATCTTTGCCGTTCTAAGTCATCTTGTAATTCCGAGGTTAATTTGTTTTTCTTGTTGATTTCACTCGTTAAAGATTCCACCTGACTATTGAGCTGTTCAAGTTGTTTTTGCTTTTGTGATAATGCTGTATTTAATGCTGTGAATTGCTCTTTATCAAGCAGACTGAAACAAACAATCATTTGAAAATTTTCTCAATTTACAAGTTTAAAAAGTAACTTGATAATCAAATCTTACGTACGCGTTTGTACTTTCAACAAGTTGAACGCTATTTTTCTCAAGTTTTGCTTCAATTCCGTTTTCTCGACCTTCTACTGCTGGACGTTGTGTGGAGTTTGCCAGTTGAGATACTAAGGTTTCATTTTTTTCCCGAAGTTGCTGTACCTCCTTCTGTAACTCCAAAACATTCTGCATCTGCCGAAATTATTAAAGACACGTAAGTTTTGTAAATCAAATATAGCAATAAATTTGATAGAGAAACTTTTATGTCAATCGATTCGACAAGGTCTTTCATACTCACTTGTGCAGCAAGTCTATCATTGTCCTCCTTTAATTTGATGATTTGCAATTCCGCTTCCGCAAACTTGGAATCCTTGGTGAAACTGACTGTACTTTTAATTTTGGAGAATTCCGCTTGAGTCTTGGACAGAACATCTTGGAGGGTTCGGATTTCCTCTTGACATTTATACAAGTCGCTTTGCGAAGATTTGCAACTGTCCTGTGCCTCTATCATTTCACTCTTGGCCGATTCGAGCTGCTGGTGAACCTGATGTAACTGATTTTTTAAAGTTTCAACGTCAGATTGGGCCTTATCTAAATCAATTTGAGCTTCATCGAGTTTTGAGCCAGTAACATCTAGCTCAATCTCCTTCATTGACAACAAAGATCGCAATTCAGCAAGATTTTCACTGTCATCAGTCTTATTTGAAGACTCGGACTGCTCAGACTTGAGGAGACTCAATTCTTGATATACTTTTTCTAATTCTTCTCTGAGAGCGTTGAGCTGACTGGTTTCAGCCATTGCCGCGTCACGTTCAGATTGAAGCCGGATAACTCGCTTTTGTAAGTCTTGTTCTACACGGTGCATATTCGCAATTCTGTGCTCCAAATCGCTTTGAGCGCGTTGCGAATCCTGTAGGTGGGAGGAAGAAAAAAAAAAAAAAAAAAAAAGAGTTCAACATAGTGAAAAATGGTAACGTTCAGCAAAAGTAATTTTTTGATTACCTTGAGCTGACGAATAACATCCTGCAGCTGGGTATCCAAGTGCATGAGCTGTTCCTGCAGAATGGCGTTCTGTTGTCGAAAGTCTTCCGCATCATGGGCGTTTCTTTCGATGGCGTTCTGCAATTCCTGAGAAATGCTGAGGTGGTGGCTCTGTAGCTCTTGGTTTTCAGCATGTTTCTGAGCGAGCTGGGCTTTGAGCGAGTTCTCGTTGTCGCGCATCTGGCTGATCTGCAGCTCGAGCTGTTTGCGCTGAGCAATGAGCTCTTGCTGCATCTGTCCGTGACTTTGGCCCTGCTCTTCCTGCATCTTGAGAATAATGGCCTGGTCTTCCGCGATCTTGGCCTGGAGCTGCTCGATCTGCCGAGAAAAGCCCTGCTTCTCAGCAGCGTGGCTCTCGAGAATGTGCTGCATGCGGGTATGGAGGGTTTGGGCTTCGGCTGATTTGACCGTTAGGGCCTCCTCGAGCTGCCTGAGTCGCGAGCGATCAGAGTTTAACTCGTGTCGGAGCTCAATCAGTTTACTCTGAACCGATTGACTGGCTTCCTGTTCGTCCTTCAAAGCTTTCTCCTTATCGGAAAGTTGCTTCTTCAGCTTGATGATCGGATCGGCGCGGCTCTCGGTCCATTCAGCGTTCTCCAAGGGATTGTCTTGTTGCTTGTTTAGTAGCTGGTCGATCAAAAATTGAATCTCGCTACGACTGAGCTCAGCTTTTTGAACTAGAGGCTTCAGCAGCGAAAAGGTCACGCCATCCTTGTCTCCTCCTGTATCATCAAACGTTTTTTTTTTTTTTTTTTTTTTTTCCCGATTCTATTAATCGTTCTATTAAAAATTTCGTTGCTTTGTAAATTAAGTTTTTTTTACTTTGAATTGTGATAAAAACAGGAATAACGTCAGACTATTTTCTTATCTTTGTGATTAGTCTTTTATCTTTATCTTCATCGACCATTTTGTAACACAAGCTTATAGCGTCAAATAATATTTTAACCAAGTGAATACATAGGGTCAAAGGTATAATCTTTATCAGTAAAATATTCGAGATACTCGAGCAAAAATCCACAAATCAAAGTAAATACAACCAAAGATATATAAGCCATCATCAACTGTACAACTCACCAATCTGAGCAAGAATATCGTTTTTCTTTTTAACTTTCTTGGATTCCTTGTTAAAGGATTGAACCGGTATTACGATTTCCTTGGTTTCCTTTGGCTCTTTGGCCACTTCTTTTGCCTCCTTTGCCACTTCTTTTGGCTTCTCCTTAACTTCCTTCACATTTTCTTTGCCAGCTTGTTGCTGATTCGCAGATACAGAAGGCGAAACGTTAGCAGCTTCCTTCTTTTCCTCTTTTTGCTCATCCTTTTTCTTCAAATCCTTTTCCTTGGTATTCTTCTTATTGATTTTAGTTGGAGTTTCTTTTGGCGACTTGTTCAATGCGGTTTCAGACTGACTGATTTGATGTAAATTTTCTCGCTGTTGAAAAAAAAAAGTAATTTTCTCACTTGATTCCACTAAAAACTTAATTTTCAGATAATTTGAAAATCACACTTTTAAACCAAGTATCACGCTTTGCTAGAATTCGTAATGATATTAAATCATAGCCAATGATGGAAAATGCAGTGCATGCGTTAGTGATTCAAGTGTTGGTTATTTTTCTAATTTTTTAGTTCATATTAATCATTTTTGTTTGGATTAGAAAATTATTATTTTTTTTTTTTTTTTGCAAGTAATAAGCAATAAAATGAAAATGTGCAAAGCTTTTTAAGAACTCACGCTATGACTTTTAATGAGTTCAAGATCATCCTTTGGCTGAGTAACATCAAAGTGATTGCTTTCTTGCAAAAGAGCAGGTTGTGAGGGACTAGTTTCTGAGATGACAATAGCGGGTTCATCCTTATTCACAAGAATCGGCTTTACTTTTTCAACTTTTCCCTTCTTCTTACCACCCTTGCCATTTTCCTATTATTTCAATGCAAATAAATTTATCAATTCCTGTGTGTGGGCTTTAATGTGCAAACTCTTAAAAAATACAAGGTGCCAAATTATTAGCTAGACAGATTAAGTAAATAATACAATCAGTACACAACAAGCAAAGCAATGAAAATAGAGCAATGCTTCATGCAAAACTAGAAATTTTGTGATCAACACCATGTTTTCTGTAAACTTGTATTTCTTGAAAACACGTAAAAAGCAAAAAAAAAAAACCAGAAACATAAAAATTACTTGTTTATAAATTTTTTAGTAACGACTAAATCATTTCATCACAAGTTGAATAATTTACTTTTTCACCTTGCAGATTCTTTTATTTTGACTTCTCGACAAGCAAAAATACCTGAAAAATCCAAATTGTCAAGTTGTTTTAAAATCGCTTATTATTATTCAATCCCATTATATTTCAAGTGTCAAAACCTTGACAAAGAAATTTTAATAGGTTACACGCCAATTACAAATTTCATGCCTTCAGTAATCAAATAATCACAATGGTAAGACAGTTTTATTTAAATTTGTATAAAATTATCATACACATATCGTTGAATGTTGTATAAACTCACAGCATATCAATTTAATGTAATTAAAACAAGAAAGCCAAACTTTACGAAATATCGACCATGTTCAGAAAAAACTTACCAAGGCATAATAATCAGTACTAATTTGTATTCAATATAAGCGGTTTTTTAAACCTTGAGTGACAAATTATCAAGAAAATATAAATTGGTTAAAAAAAAAAAAGTGCACAAAAAATTTATAAACACTATACAATCTCTGACCCAAGTCATTGAAAACATAAGTTTCAGTTGCTATGGCAACAGCCTAAGAGTTATAAAATAAAAGACGTTTGACAAACAATATTATACAGAATGCAAAGTAAAATGATACTCTGAAATGTCTTTAGTAATATTATACTTATTATTGAAAACAAAATGTTAAGCACACTGGAACCTACTTCATTGTTCTCAAGTCCTTCTGAATGACCTAGACGTGTGTGACATTTTATACATTAACTGAAATAGCATTTTTCGTGAGATAATTCAATGAAAATTCTATTATACAAGCAACAACTACTTCTAAAATCAAGGTAACAAGTTGAACATAAGGTTAGAAAATATGTTACTTGGACATCACAATTTCCTTGGACCATTTTAAACATTGTAAATGTAAGTAACAGTAACTTTACGAACAAAGCTTGGTTACAAGAACCTCATGCATGCTCCACTTTTGATTAATTATTATCTTACAGAGAACAATTTACATCTACAATGATAATTTAACAGGCGCATATGAGGATGCTCATGTGTGTGGGTATAAAAGAATGTTGAACATACTTGCACAGGTGGTTCGGGTGGCAGAATTTCTGGAGTTTCCTCAAACTTGACATGTTCTGTTTTCTCTTCTTTTTCTTCCTTTTCCTCCTTCTTCTTGTGCTTCTTCTTCTTCTCTTTCACTTTTTCTTTTTTCCCTAAACGATTGGAACAAAAAAAAAAAAATAAAACATAATAATTGCATGTGACACAGATACACAACAGATGTCTGCATGCGGGCTGGGTGTGACTCCAAAACTTACCCAGGAGAAGATCATCGGGAAGCTTCCGCTGTTCGGCTATAGCTTCCTCGTAGGACTTTTCTTTCATGGCAAAAATGGAGACAAATCCAATCACCAGAGCAGACACTATGACCACTGCCACATAGACCAAACCCGTCTGAACATCCATCGCGACTGACTTTGGATAGGTATAATTGCGGATTGCGGATGTATAACAATAAAAAAATGCATATAGCGGTAAGCAAATGCAGGCAGAGAGAGAATATAAAAGAGCGGGGGCCTGGCTGAGCCGGGGCGGCCCGTTTATACCATGTACAAGGTGCAGGCGACGTGTATGCACTACTGCCAGTGCTAGTAGGTATAGGATATACTGCTGTTTGGCCGCCGATGAGAGGGGATGTTGCCACGTATGCAGACAGTCTGCAAACTCTGTGTATGAATCTTGATTTTTTTAATTGATGAAAGAATCAAGTCGCCTCCCCAAATACGTATACCTACATGTATACGTTTTATGGTTGATGCGTAGGCAAACGCTTCGTGTTTTATGTTTATTTTTAAATAACAATAGCAAATTATACCAGCGTTTGACTGTAAACGGCGTTTTTTTTTTTAGCCGGTATAGTAATTAAAGAGCCGATGTGCGTCACCGATTTTTATACTTTAATTTTCATTGTTGCTGTGTGGAACGTATGTACGCAAAATAAAAAATGCATTCACTTTTTTATACCTTACTGACGTATAGTAAATAGTAAAAAACACAACAATTGTAAAATACCTATGTTATCGACATCCTTTACAATCCATGAATAAATAAACTTTAAAGATAAGAATTTAAATAATTTTTAACGATAACAAAATTTAATTAAAACTATAACTTAACGAATAAATTAGCTGTTTTTTTATTGTAATTAATAATTCAGCAACGGGATGAAATTAAAAGTTCTTTGTAGGTAAGCAAATTAAATAACATCATTATAATTAATTATAAAAAAAAATTGTGTTTCAAAAACTTTGTGAATTAATTTTGTACTTCCAATGAAAATACGACAGTATTTTATTTACCTTCTGCCGATGACACCGAGTCCCAGACGTGGCCCTTCCATAAAAATTACTGTACAGAAAGGATCTATTGTATTCTTATAACAAAAGTAAAAACTGCTGCCGATTATTCATAGCTAATTTACTTACTACGGGTTCCTAATTCTAATTTCACGTAACCAGGTACTGCACGTACACACTTTCTATAAGATGGAAATTTTTTTTTGTCCAACACAAAAATAACGTGTTATTTTTCGTAATATTTGCTTTAATATGTCATTAATGTTAAATACGTATACAGTTAACTTATGCTTAAATTAAACAAAAAACAAACTGTTGGAAAGGATGAAAATAAAAGCAACGGTAATGCAATAGTAATTATTAAACAGTAAAAGTTGTGTGACACAAAAATCATGTATTATAAAAAAACCAACTTGACATTGTTAATCAAGACGAGGTTGTACCGTGAAACGGCGTCGACGAGGAGTTTTGTCAACTCGGACGAGTCGTCGGTTTCCTCGAAACGAAGCTCACTCCCCGATTTTTGCAATTTATCCTCCAATACGCTAATAAACCGATGAGCCTCGTTTTTCTTTATCTTATCCGCCAAATCGTCGTAATTTCGCTTCTCAAACCCCCCAAACGACTCGGACTCGGGGAAATAATCCCTACTAGCCGATCGATCACTTATACCGGTTTTCGCCGTTTTCGGCCTAGACACCGTTTCATCCCCGTTGGATTCATCCAACGACTCCAAATCCTGCTGCTGCGCGTCGATCTTCTCCGCTGTATCCACATCCGCCTCGATTTCGTCGTCGTCCGGCTTCCTGGCGCTCTTTTTCCTCTTCTCGGAAATGTCCAAAATGTCCTGCTTCATCTGTAACCAAACATGTATACACATGTGTGTGATTAACCGCGGCCTACCATTGAAAAATTCGATTGTCCTCACCGGGGAAAGGTCGATTTTCTCCACGATTTTGGCCCGTCTCTCGTAGAGATCGTCCAAATCCTCCTGCATGAGAGCGATTTCCACCTGCAGCTCGGTTTTCATGCCCGAGTCCGGGTCCACGCCGCTGGCGAATTTTTCCGAGATTTGGCGCTTAAACTCGAGCCTCTTCTCGGCATCCTCGATGGCATCGTTCACCTCCTCCAGAGCCCGGGCCTCCACCTCGGGATCAACCAGCGTTGTTGCCTCGTAGTGTTCGTAGTCGCGCGACACCTCGTTGTCCATCTTCACCTGCACGAGTTGTTGCCTGTCATCCTGAATCTCCCTGGATGGATCGGTTGGCTTGGGTGGAGGGGCTCTCGCCGAGCCGGAGCGCACGCCGATTCCTTGTTGGGTGATGGGCCGATCGATGATCTGGACATAGTTCCTGGGCAGGCCGGAGCTGGTGCGCGCCTGGGGGGTGCCGGTTCTCGAGGTAGCCGTGGGAATTCGGTTGAGGAGGGGCGACGGCGGGCGTCTGTTGCCGCTGGTTGGGGGGCGTGACACGCCAAAGTCGGAAACGTCGGTTTTTAGTCCACGACGGGAGATCGGTCGCCCCGACGATGGCCTTTGGAAGGACGACGATGGCCTCGAGGTGGGATCCGTGCTCGGGTAGTCCGTAAACACTTGCGGCGACTCTGGTTCCCTCTTCCAACGGGTCACTGGCCGCTCGCCCGATCTGCTGACGCTCGGCCGATCCAGTTCCATCGATGCCGATTTCTGTTTTTTTTTTGTTTTTTTTTTTTTCGATTTTCAAGGATGTATATTTGGCAAGACTCGCGGGTACAACGTAAGTATATTGTTGTGGCGTTCGTGGTCATGGAAACACAGACACCCTCGTTCCATTTGAACTTTCGGTCGGCTTATTTTTTCTTATCATGGAGGTGGGAGGAAGGTAAAAAAAGCATTATTTAAGCGTCGCTTGGTGGAAAAAAAAGTGACATCAGCGTGTCACAAGAATAATATTACAAAATAGACAAGTTGCAAAACCTTCGCGGGAAATTTGTATGGGCAGTTACTATAGTCCATCTATCATCGGTTACCATACGTAATTAGCGCTAGTAACCGAAACCTTTTTCTGTTCGTATTTATTTATTACTATTTTTTTTTTTTTTTTTGAATGGTTTTTGTTGACAAAAAACAAGTTATACATCCGTATAAATAGTGCCACCTATGCAGCTGACATCCGTACTAGAATAATTTAGGGCCTCCAATTAGTGGCGCCAAAAGACGGCCGGCGGCGAAAGCTTGTGGGTTTGCGTCGTCGATGTGGCGTCGACGACGGTCTTATCCTACAGTTGTACCTGCGCGCGTGTCGCGCTCGATTAAGCCAACCGTCGTCCGCAAGTACAAACCAATACTTTTTTTTTTTTTTTTTTGCATATTTCGTTGGAAAATCTCTACATTTAATTGGTGCTCGCTCAAAGTGTATATAGTAAAGTGTTCCTTTCGTTGCACGACAATCCTCGTTCGTTCTCTTGTTTTTTTTTTTATCTTATTTTTTGTTTCCCCCTCCCTCCGATTACTCGGTGATGATTATCAACGCTCAAAGAAAATAAACATTGTAAAAGCGCGTCAATACTACGAACAGGTGTACCGCAATACAGTTGTAATTCTTTTGTTTGCACCGGCCCTTTGGCACCTATAAAAGTGTATTCGGTCGTTTCCTACGTCGACTCCAAAATAGGCAAACAACAATATATTTGGTATCAGTAATATATGCAGGACTCTCGTGTCAACGGCAGCATGTCCTGCGGTCCTTCAGCCTTGTTTCTCGCAAGGGCAACAATAAATCTGCAACGAAACCGCAAAGACGTGATTAATTGTTTAGTGGTGCAGCATCGATAGATAACACACGTATCTAGCGTATAGTGTACTCACGAGGTGACTCGTCGGATGTAGGTATTTATACCTACACTTGCGTATATATTATTATACATATGATATCGGAGCAGTTATACGGACAACCTCGGTAGTAGCCGATTTTTTTTTTTTTTATTTTGGAGCAAACGCGGTGATCGTATCTAGTATCAAGTAATTATTCATCGGGAGACATATTACATTGTACACCAGCGATCGGCCCAGCGGTACATACGAGCATGGACGAGGAAGAGATCGACGGTTTCAAGTCGCCGATCAAGCGGCTCGGCTCTACTAGAAAGCTACTTGTGTTCAACCGTGAGTATTTGTTATTTAATATTTTACTTTTTCTTTTTTCTTTTTTTTTTTTTTTTTCTTCATCTACATCGATCTTACAAACCATCAAAGACTAGCTCGTTGTGGTGTACATATACCTACTGCGTCTCCTTTCAACTTTGGACAAAAACGCTATTGATATCGATCGCTCCTTGGGTCTATTTATACAAGAACATCACCATCGGTATTAGAAATAGAGAGAGAGAGAGAGAGAAAATAATATGGGAGAAAAGCTCTACAACTTGGCATGTACAACAACGAGTGGAGTGCAGAATGAAGAAGGAGAATATAATAATCATAGAGAGCCGTTATTACTTGCGTGTCAGCAAGCAGAAACGCCAGCTTATAACACTTGTCGCTGGGTTTGCCGTTTGGCTGTCGTATATTATGAGCTCTTGCGAGTGCTGTATACATTATAACATAAATGCACACAATGCTGGCTGGACCGATGGAGAGGAGAGCGGTCAAGTCGGGCGTACAAAGCGCCGATCACTTTCACTCCCTCGCTCGGTTGGCACAGCCATCCGGCATGCACAGTAGGTATACTTACTGCAGGCTTTTCAACTCCTCAGGCGAAACCTTGAAGTAATTGAACGCTGTCGAAGGATACACAATTATACACACACACACACACACATGCATTGATAACTGTATGCAAAATACACAGGTACTCTCTAAATTTTAACCAGTGAAATTTCACTGGTTAATAGTGTAATTTTCACTACCCTCGTCAGTTAGGATCAGGTCACATGCAAATAGTGAATATTCGCTTCATGAAATAGTCAAATGATTTTAACTCTTAAAAGCAGTGAAATTTTCACTACTTCAAGCAATGAAATTGTCTCCACATCACCACGTATTAGTGGTGTATTTATAAAATGCTACAACAGTAATAACATCATATTTGAATCACTGCACTTTTATTATGAACTGAAATGCATCCTACAAGATACACAGAGTGAAATGACAATAAATTTTACACTGCAGAGAGGCACGTTTACTTCAACGTATATCATATAGACACATGGTATACGACATGTAACCTAATATTTGCCTTATAAAAAAGCATTGACAAACTGCTGGCAATATTTGCAAATTATGAATAGATACACTTTGATAATTTTTATACTTTACTATTTATATATATACAAGCTAATATTAATAAAATCGTGTTTACTAACTGTGATCGACAAAGCTTTATATGGCGGAATATTGATCTGACGACCATCACTACCATCAGCGCGAACACTGGAGGATTTTCGGTCCATGTATAGGATAGATACAGGTGGAAGGACAACTTCACTTTGTACACAGTGAAATAAATTTTCACTTCACGAAATAGTGAATTATTTGACTATTTCTTAGCGATTAGTGATTTGAAGAACGTCTCACTTTAGAAAAGTGGAATTCTCACTTAATCGAAAGTGAAAAAAAAAACTGATATCTAAATAGTGAACATTTTCACTTAGCTTCAAGTGAAACAGACATTCACTACCAAAATAGTGAACATTTTCACTGGTTTAAATTTAGAGAGTTTGT